GAAAGTATCTTTATTACTGCAATTAGTAAAGCATTTAATCCATATGAGTTGGATCCTATACAACAGTGAGCAATAAAGGTAGAATGTGGCCTAGTTGAAGGGGGATCAAGATATAATTAAGCAATTATTATGTAGTCCATTAATGTTCTTATAAGTAAAGTGTAGAGAACTGTGGTAGGAAACAATTTACCTAGATTTAGAAAGCATAACATTTCAACGGACAAAAATCAGGGAAGATCATAACACTCAAAGTGTAGTCTCTGAACCAGCAACATCAGCATGACCTGGGGCCTCTTCTCAGATTTACCAAATTAGAAACTCTTGGGGTAGAGACAGCAATCTGTGTTTTACAAACCCTCCAGATGGTTCTGATATAGGAAACCACTGTTCACACTGAGGCTGAGAATCAAAGAGAAGGCATAGCATATTAAACAGAGCTGAAGCCAAGTGTGAAGACATTAATAGGTTGACTTGTGGTTGAAGAAGTGGGTAAGTCTTGATAAAATGATTGAAGAGTTTAGATTTTTATCTTGAGTGTACTTGTAAGCCATCGAAGCACTTTCAGTAGGGAAACAGCTTGGTCATCTTTCTTTTAGAAAGATCACTAGAGGGGGAACCAGCAGTTGGTGTAATGGCAATGTTGCTGAATTCTCACATAGTCGACCGTGGTTTGAATCCCGGACCCGGTGGCTTAAACTCATGCTGGGCGTGTGTGTGTGCGTGCCCAAGATCCTGAGAGGAGAATGGAGGAGAAGGGATTGTGGTGTGGCCATCTCCCCTGGGGGATGATTTCTCACTTTCTGTCTCTCTCTGTTTTTCTGGCAAGTGCACACGCCCTGTAGCAAAAACCTCTAAAAAAATAAAAATAAAAAATCACTAGAGGGGAGATTGGAGCTGGCTAGACAGAACCCTTAAGAAGTTGGCATAGTTATGATGCTAATGGACATACATAGAATAAAATAAACAGGTTAAGTAAATATTTAGAAAAGAGAATTTCTGGGGCCAGCAGATGGTGTAATGGTCACATCAATGGACTCCCATGTAGTCTGACCCTGGTTTGAGTCCTGAACTTGGCTGTTTAAAACTCATGCTGGGCATGCATGCCCAAAATCCCTAGAAGAGAATAGAGGAGAAGGAATTGTGGTATGGTCATCACGTGTGTGTGTGTGTGGTGATTTCTCACTCCCTTTCTTTCTGTCTCTATCTCTCTACGAGTGCACATGCTTTATAGTAAAAATCTCTTTCTAAAAAAGAGAGAGAGAATTTCTAGGATTTGGTTATTGATTTAAGTGAGGAGAGAGAAGGAAGACTTCCCAGGCTAAGTACTTGGACTCTTGGGTAGATGGTTGTGTTCTAGTTTCTGGGATAGGACATTTAGGAAAGTTATGAGTGTAAGTTTGGTTTAAACACTGAAACTGAAGTATATATGGGATGATCTGGGATGATCAATTTAAGTAGGCAAGTTTATATTTGCCTAAAGCTCAGAAGGAAGGGTTAAATGTGTACATACAAGAATATTTGGGGTATATAATGTAATTGAAACCTTTGGAGTAAGTTATATAACTCAGTGAAAGTGCATTGAAGGAATGAGAACATAAGTAATGCAGAAACATTCATATTGAACAGAGGAAGGAGAACTCTCAAAAATGACAGAGAAGGGCCAGCCAGAGAGAATAACCAAAACTTAAGGGAGAGTACAATGTCATGGCAATTGAGGAAAGAAAATGTCCAAGGAGAGCCTCTCCATCATGTGTTTGGTGCTCCGACAAGGTCAACATGGGAGACTGAAAAATTTCCATTAGAATAGGCACAAAAAGACTAGCATGACTTTAGGAAGTTATATGAATTTCCAGAAATTGACTAAAGTAGATTTAATGGGTAGAAGGGGGTAGAAGCCATATTGTAAGAAATCAGTGGGAAACAATATCAGAGAAGATTTGGCTATGAGTAAGAAAAAGAATCGAAGTGGGAAGGAGAACATGAAATCATGGGTGTATTTCTCTCTCTTTTTTTATTCCTCCTAAAGGTGATGGAGATTTAATCTTGAATGTGGATGGGGAAGAAAATTCTCTGGGGAGAAGTAGAGAGGTCAGAGAAACAGATAATTTCAAAGAACTAAAGTACTGAGGGTTAAATGAGAAAATTTGAAGGATGGAAAGTTGTGATGGGTAATTAGAGTGTCTCTATTTCTATTTTTTATGTTTCTATATCCTCTAGTCATTCAGTTTTGGCCATCGAGTGCAGACAGTCAGTATATGTGATTGAATATATTAAAGAAATTGAAAAATTAAAAAATATCTCTCTTTCCAAGGGGAGATAGAGTAGTTCTGGGTTGTTAAAAAAGTCCTGGGTGTGACCATGGATGTGAGCAGCTGAGTTGTAATGGAATAGGTCATTAGAGATGAGGTCAAGAAAACAAGAGACAAGAAAATTAGATGAATTACCCAGAGTAATGCCAAGATTTAAGATGGAATGGAATGCTACAAGTCAAGTTCTCTGATCTCCAATGAATGAGGCACTGTGGGAGCAACCTAAGTTACCAAGATGCATGAAATAGTCTCTACTTCCTGGACTATGTTCTCTTTAAGAAACAGATGAGTACAGGGATTAATTATACAGTATGTTAAGTATAATGTTAGAAGTAGGATTTGGGCCAGCAGTTGACGTAGTGGTTAAGGCATTAAATTCCCATATAGTCAACCATGGTTTGAGTCCCAGACCTGGCAGCTTGAAACTCATGCCAGGTGCTTGTGCATGGATGCCCAAAATTGTAATAGGAAAATAGAGGAGAAACCACTAAAAAATAAAATAAAATAAGATAATAAAAAAGAGTATGATCTAGAAACTAGTAAAGTCTAGATGAAAAAAGAGACTTCAGATGTTTGAACAAGTTAGAAGACTGGCAACTTAATAATTGCTTCACAGTAATTTGGAATTTTCAGTGTTTGGTAAACATTTCTGTACAACATATGAATATTCAGTGGAACAATTGATTAAAAAGAGGTTGAACCTTTCATATTTCTTTAGTAACTTATTAGAATCAAAGCAAGTTTAAAAAAAGATACAATGTGAACTGTCTTCAAGAAATACTTTCTAATTCTAGGGGCCTTAGATAAACCTAAGGCTTAGGAATAGTGATTGATTCTATGTGATACTTTATTTTCTTTCTTTTAAAAAATTTTCTATGCATTTTTAAATTTTGTGATACTTTATTTTCTATTAATAGTTTCTTCTTTGTCACTTTATTTTTTAATTTTTTTAAAGTTTTACTTTAATTTACATATAGTTGTATAAACTTGTACACTGGTTTTTCATAATGGGTGTGCATATGTATATACACACATACATGGATATTTGTATGTATTTGCTAAAGATCATGTGCATTCACCCGAGAGAGATTGGGGGGGGGATAAATCAGGAGAAATGGTCATGCAACAATCAATTCCATCTCTTCCATCTCTCTCTTTTTTGGGGATTTGGGGCACATGCATGTACATGTGCCTGGCATGTTTCTCAAGCCTCTGGGTCCAGAACTTGAACCATGAGTTTGGCCATGTGGGATATGGCTGCCTTAACCACCAGGCCACAGAACCAGCTCAAAACATGCATATTGTGGAATGATCAAATCAGGGCAAATATGTTCACTGTCTCAAACATTTATTATTCTTTTGTGTTCTTTGCACATTTGCAATCCACTTTTCTATTTTGAAATATACATTGAGTTGTTTCCAGCTCTTATTATTCTACTGTATGATAGCACTCTAGAACTGATTCCACTTACATTCTTACTCTCTTGTATCTGTTAACCAACTTTTCCCCATCCCTCCCACTCACCTCTCCTTTGCAGCTTCCTGTACCCATCATTCTAACTTTGTTAGAATAGCTTTATTGACCACCTTTATTATTCTTTTTTAAACTGCCTCAATCCTTTTTGGATTCAAATGAGAGTATAAATAATAAGTACATATATTCTCATCATTCAGTGATGTTAAAAAATAAGTTCACATTATAAAGCAGTATCATTCCACATTTTAAAAGATGTACTTTAATCTAATCTCGATATATTTTACTTCTTGTAGAGCAAAGTGTCAACTGTTCTTTGGAGGTTTTGTTAGGTCCTCCATAAAGAAAAAAGTTCTCGAACATCATAGATTGGTTGACGTGCTATTCTGGGGCTAAGGATTCATGGGGGTAGGCAGTGATGACCACAGGAATGTGGAGCAGCAAATGCCGGCTTTGAAGCATAGGAACCTCTTTGAAATGTTGGGGCTGATGGTTCTTATGGGAACCTGCATCACAGATTGAACAAGCTATGTGAGAATAGAAATGCAGAATAATAGGACAATGATACCCTATCTGTAAACCAACTATGTTTATAGATTCCCTAAATCACAGGTCAAAATAGATTTCACTATAGCAAATATTCCAAGTGCAATATTCTGGCAAAATTTTTGTCTGTCTCATGTATTTTAAGTAAGATTTCTGAGCCATGTGGCTTTTCTAGTAGACTTCAATGACATGTAACCACCAAACACAGACCTTGTCATTTATTTAAGTCCAACTGTCTTTAATCTCTAAGACAATAATACTGTAAGAAACCTTGGGGTTTCACCATAGTCATGGAATGTTACGCAGGCTCAGATTTTCAAGTGTTTTGCTTTTGTTTGTTGGCTGCATTTACTATAGAGGTCTTATGCCCTCTTTCCATCTTTAAATTGGGATCTGTGGTTTTGTGCTCACCAAAGAGACAGACAGAAAGTAAGAAATCACCTCCCAAAGTAGATGGCATGCTGCAGTCCCTTCTTCTCAGTCTCTTCTTGGGATTTTGGGCACACACACGTACCCAGCATGAATCTCAAGCTGCTGGGTCCAGGACTTGAACTGTGGTTGACTCTGTGGGAGTCCAGTGACGTAATCATTACACCACCTGCTGCTCCGTGCTTTTCATTTTCTTTTCTTTTCTTTTCTTTTTTAATCAACGTTCCTCCTCTCTGTTTTAGTTCACCTCCATGAACGAACCACAGTGCTTCTACAATGAGTCCATCGCCTTTTTTTATAACCGAAGTGGAAAATATCTTGCCACAGAATGGAACACGGTCAGCAAGCTGGTGATGGGACTTGGAATCACTGTCTGTATCTTCATCATGTTGGCCAACCTTCTGGTCATGGTGGCAATCTACGTCAACCGCCGCTTCCACTTTCCTATTTATTACTTGATGGCTAATCTGGCTGCTGCGGACTTCTTCGCTGGCTTGGCCTACTTCTACCTAATGTTCAACACAGGACCCAATACTCGGAGATTGACGGTCAGCACCTGGCTCCTCCGTCAGGGCCTCATTGACACCAGCCTGACAGCATCAGTGGCCAACTTACTGGCTATTGCAATTGAGAGGCACATTACAGTTTTCCGCATGCAGCTGCACACACGGATGAGCAACCGACGAGTGGTGGTGGTCATTGTGGTCATCTGGACTATGGCCATTGTCATGGGTGCTATACCCAGTGTAGGCTGGAACTGTATCTGTGATATCGAACATTGTTCCAACATGGCACCCCTCTATAGTGACTCTTACTTAGTTTTTTGGGCCATTTTCAACTTGGTGACCTTTGTGGTAATGGTGGTTCTCTATGCTCACATCTTTGGCTATGTTCGCCAGAGGACTATGAGAATGTCCCGGCATAGTTCTGGACCTCGGCGGAATCGGGATACCATGATGAGCCTTCTCAAGACTGTGGTCATTGTGCTGGGTAAGTTTTGTCTTGATTATAACTTACTTTATAGATTTCCAATGTCTTAGTGTAAACCACATTAGTTTAAGATAGTGTAAAATAACCACATTAGTGTAAGATTGTGTAAGACAAACAATATGGATATTCAATAGATGCAGGAATTACAAGAGGGTGAATCATCTTTGTATCAAATGTCTATGACAAAAATCATTTTACCAGTCTTTCTACAATTACAGAGTCAGCTTTCCGAAAATTTAAGTGTCAGTGGTGTAGGATAAATGATGACGATGTGAAAGATGCCACTGAAGAGTTTGTCTATCCTAGTATTGGAAATCCTAGAATAACCAAACCAATTATTTAGCTTTGAGGAATTTTCTGTTACCAACCAAAGCAGGTACAGACTGAAAACAGTCTCTCACTGCCAGCAAAGCCAAACTTTGACCCATGAGGTTTGTCGAGGAGGAGGGTTTTATCGTAGGTGACATCATCCAGGAGATAGTTAAGGTTATCAGAAGACTAACTCCCTGAATGTTTCTGAGGATGGGCTTTTATGGAAAAATATATTTCCTGCCAATTATTCAAACAAGTCTTTACATGCAAATGAAAGGTTGACCCTTGTGCAGCCTGATTGGTCAACTCAAGCAGCAGTCCTATTGGTCTGTTATTGAAACTGGTTCTGTTCTGATTGGTCACTCTGCTGCAGCCAGCAGCCACACTCCCTTCCTGCAGTGGGATTCAACCTTAGGTCACTAGATCTTCCAGAGCACTGCCCTCCCAGCAAATCCAGAAAACAGCAGTCAGCATCAGGTCTCTGCCAACCAGGCTGGTTCTGACTGCTTGCATTTCCTTTCAGTCCAAATTGTGGAACATTTTTCATGTGTCCTCTACATTACAGATTTTCAGATAAAAAATACTTTTATATAATGCTAATAATATTCTTTCATACGTGTTTTTTTAAAAAGTTTACTTCTTTCATGAGAGAGAGAAATGCACGCGCGCGCGCACACACACACACACACACACACAGAACAAGCAAAAGCAAAAAAAAAAAAAAAAAAAAAAAGGGCAACACATTTAAGGGACCCAAAATACACATTTAAGGGACCCAAAATGGGAAGAAATCTGTTGCTTATGATACCCATGGGTGGTAATGTCTTTGGATCGATGTGTGGTGTATTTATGATGGGAAAATTTATTTGGTATGCTGCAATGATGCACAGTGATTTAATGTAAAACAAATTAATAATAATTAAAATAAAATAGCATCTCCAAAAGGGTCCTGATGTGGTGATTCTCCCCCTAGCCCCACCTTTCAGCCAGCTGCAGATCATGGGAATATGCATGCCTAGTGCATGCAGGGAGTTATCCGATCTTGAACCAGAAACCTTCTCACATGGGATTACCTTGCAGAGTGTCTCATTTTATTGCTGCCTCACCATCTGGTTCCTTTATGTAGTTATTTTTATTAGTTTATTTCTAAGAAAATTATCTTTCACATTCTGTTGTTACAATTACATCGTAGGTAAATATATCAAAGTTTGTATAAATATACTGAACAAAATAGGTGGAAATCAATGGTATTGTGTGACAGTCATCTTTAGGGAAAATGCATTTTTTAAATTACCTTTTTATTCATAATAGGGGAAGTTAATTCATATCTCAAGGTGAAGGGTGAGATTTTATTCTTTCTGTAAGCTCAAATAACTTTGCCTGTTAGTAAGTCTTGTTTTTCCTGGATGAAAAAATTCTTGGTTGTGATCACAAGGAATATACTTATTCATTTGTGTACTCAAAAAATAAAGAGGGATAAGCAGTTGGCATAATGGCTATGTCGCTGGACTCCCATGTAGTCGACTGCAGTTCGAGTCCTGGACCTGGTGGCTTAAACTCACGCCAGGCATGTTTGTGTGCGTGCCCACGATCCTGACAGGAGAATGGAGGAGAAAGGATTGCGGCGTGGCCATCCCCCCTGGGGGGTGATTTCTCGCTTTCTGTCTCTCTGTCTTTCTCTGTCTTTCTGGTGAGTGCATGCGTTGTATAGCAAAAATATCTCCCCCCCAAAAAATTAATAAAAATAAAGAGCACCTATTAGATCCTAGACTCTTTGCTCATGCTTGGAGTTGTTTCTGCAAAAGACAAGCACACAACTTTTCTTTAAGAGCTTACAGTGGAGAGCCTATTTTAAAAATTAACTCAGTGAGAATTTGTTTAGGTATTTGAGTTATATATTTTCCACAGACAATATTCAGGTTACCATTGATTGCAGTTTAAAATTTTTAAAAAAATTATTTCATGAGAGACAGAGAAGGGGGAGTAAAGAGAGAGAACCCTCAACAGGGTCTCATGTTGCAGTTTCCTCTATTCTTCCCCTCCCTGACTCGCCTCCCCAGCCATCTAGCCAGGGGCATGTGTGTACTTATTCTTGGTATGTACAGGTCAATGGGGAAAACGGACCCATATCTTCCATATGGATCCAGAATCATTTGAGTATCTTATTACCACTGTGTCCCTGAGCTCGCCCACCATTTAAAAATATCTTAAAAAAAATCAATTACCATTCATCTTCTCGTATAGATTTCAATAATAAGTTCCTATAATTATGTCTTCCACTTTATAAAGAAATGTTAAGTGAATGTGGCCTGGGAGTATGAACTTCCTCTGAATCTCTGGAAGTTACATACATTGTAGTCACTGACAGGTGGCGTGGTGGTTAAGGTACTGAACTCCTACATGGACAACCACAGTTCAAGTCCTGAACTTGGTGCTTGCCTTCTCACTTTTCCTTTCTCTCTCTGGTCAAATTAAAAAAAAATAATGATAAATACAATTAAATAAATAAATATTAAAAAAAATATTTTAGTCACTAAAAGGAGATGGATCCCTAATTGCCACTAAGTGGATTAGCTTTCTGGTTGTTGATCTGTCTCATTGGTTGGGTTAGGACCAAGCATCATGGAGGATGTTTCTACCTCTACTGATGGTGACCCTCTTGTCGATCTATGAGAAAGGACAATAGGTTTGGCATTTCAGACACAACCAAAGCTCACCTGTGACTAGCTGGAGTACTTAGAAAATATGTCCAGTGGGACCCCCATCACCTCAGATATGAGATTGTCTCAATCCAGCCAATGACATTTAGTGGTACAAACATGATGTCCCTCTGTGTTTAATTATCAACTAAAACAGACCTGTGCCACAAGGACATGATTTCCATGCTATGGACAAAATACATCTTAATTTTTCAAGGATACTATTTTTTGTATGAAATTAAATAACACGAGACATTTTCCTTTATTTCATATTGCATCAAATGTTTGTTCACTCATGATCTGAATGTTGGTTGATGTTTTCCTGTGTGTGTGCTTTCTCTATTATGAATTAAGTGCTACTTAGAGTTCATAGAACTACCAGCAGTAAATGTCTACTAAGCTTGGACTATGAACCTGCCAAGTTCTTGTTTTAATTTTGACCTTTGTTTAATGTCTCCAGTATTCCAATGTGCAATATACTTAATGATTCATGTCAAATTAACTTTGGTGCCTCCTTGGGTTTTTCTGTAGCTTAAATGAGATCATTATTTTGAAGGTTTATGAAAGGGCTACAGTTTCAGTATACATCTGCCCTAAATGCTCCTTCTTCCCCTCCCCACAGACCCCAAACTTGAAAATAAAAATAATGTTGTCCTCTGAGATTTAAACTACCAGACATCACAAAGATAGAATGTGATTAACTACCTCTGGCATAAATAGCGTTATTTTTATTGCCATGAGAGGAAAGAAGTTTTAGGACATTGAACACTCCATTCAGGGTATACTAGGTGAAGAAATTTGGTGAGGTGAGATGAGAATGTGATTTTAGTATGGGAAGCAGAAATCAAATAAATGGCCAGTAGCCTTTTTGAGAAAAACAGCATGATGGGAAGAATGGGTCAGGGGAGAAGATGGAAAGCATACACTAGTGAGGCCATGCCCAGTGCTCTCCTTACAGTATATTCTGCTTGAAGGTTAAGTGTCTATCTCTAGGATGTGATTTTATGGGAGACAAAGGTTGTTCTTGTAAGAACAAGACTTTTGCTCTTCCCAAACCTCTTCTTATTATAAACTAGCCTATTTGACAATTTCCTTCTTTCTCTCTCTCTCTCTTTCTTTCTTTCAACTTTAGTTTGTGCACATTTGATCTTTAATATCTGTCATCTCAGGGACCAGCAGTTAGCATAATGGCTATGTCTCTGGACTCCCATGTAGTCGATTGCGGTTCGCGTCCCAGACCCAGTGGCTTAAAACTCATGCCAGGCACGTGTGCGTGCATGCCCAAGATCTCGAGAGGAGAATAGAGGAGAAGGGATTGTGGCGTGGCCATCCCCCCTAGGGGGTGATTTCTCGCTTTCTGTCTCTGTCTCTCTCTGTCTGGCAAGTGCATGTGCCCTGTAGCAAAATAAAATCTCTCAAAAAAAATATATATATATATCTGTCATCTCAGACAGATCATCTGCTTCATGAGGGCAGCCAGGAATTGCAACGATTTGCTGTCTGCCTTCTCCATATTGCCAGTCTTAGTTATCTGGCACTAAACAGGTACTCAATAAATAATTTTGAACAGGTGAGTATGATGACAAAAGCAAGTTTCTGAGCCTCCAAAACTGAGTACCAGAGAGAGCCATAGTGAAGTTACTATGGAAAACACCAATTTATTCAGCCATGTTGGAGCGAGACCTAGCTATGCTCCTATTACATCCCATGTCTTCCAATGAAAATATCACAGTTTGGAAAAATGACTGGTTACAATGGGTGCTCAGTAAAATAGTATGTTTGTTTTGCTTTCATTTATTCTGGGTAAGTTAGGGTCTCATGAAAGCCTTCAGTTTCCATTTTCACTACATCAGAATAAACTCTGGGCTTAAGACCTGTTTAGTCTTCATGATCAAGAGAAGGATTTATGGGTCCACAAGCTAAATTCTTAGGAGTCAGTTTAAAACAAAGGCTCCTGGGGCCAGGTGATAGCACAGTGATAAAGAGGCT